GTATAGATTTATTTCACTATAATTGATACAAGTCTGAGTGAGTGGTTTCTGTTACCTATAAATATTTTTTTTATTATGTGGGAACTGATGCATTTTGCACATGTAAATAAATAGTATGCACAAAATTTGTTGTCTTTTTTTTATTTATTACTGTTTATACTGCATTATATAAGTTGGAAAAGAACTATCAATGTGACAGAATGGTTACCAATCAACATGGCATTGAAATTAATCTACCCCAGTAAATTATAGATTACTGGAACTACAATTGCACATTTCTGTAATAAGAGTTTTTATGCCCAGTGAATTAAGTGTTTCTGGAAAAGAATATTGCTTCTATGCCCAGTAAATTACTCACGATAAAAAAAAAATTGCACAAATTCTGTAAAAAATGTTCTCCCGCCCAATAAGTTTCAAACAAAGAGCTAGTTCTGTACAGTGCTCAATAATACTCCCACTTATTAAACTTGGAAGCAGAAACAAACCTCTGCAGAATAGCTAAAAAATACATGTTTTTCAAACAAAGTTCATAAACGTTGACAAAATTACAAACCCAAACTTGCTAGTTGGAAGTGTCACTGCTAATAAATTGCTTTAGTCAAATTGAAAGAAAAGTAATCTCAGTGATTCTAGCAGAGCCCCTCACTCCATAATTCTGGATAAACAATAGATCATAATTACTATTACAAGGGAAACAATGTAAATGATTAACATAATTAATTGTTATGCAAATTATCAAAAGACATTTTCCTGAGAACACGGCTACATAGTGAGTAATATTATAAAAATCATCCTCCAAAGTTTGTTTTAATGCCCAGAGAATTATGCAAATTTCTGTAAAAAATGTTTTACAAACAATTATCAAAGAAATTAGCTGGTTATGTAGCCAAACTGCCAAAAGGTTATGAAACAGTACAAAATAAAAATGTCCTTGAAATAAGTTTAAACAGTTATATTGTCTTATATTTTGCATGTAAAAATCAGTGCACATATATTTGATTAATAACACCAGGTGAGGACAGACTGACCTAACAATACAGAATTATGGGAGAGAGATAGTGATTAGTACACATGCTCAAGTGTTCTTTCATAGCCTGGAGGTGGAGGCAGGTCTAGTGCTGTTCTGTGAAATCTTGCTCTCACTGATAGACTGTTTCTCACTGGTAGGTAAGCTCTTCCAGCTGTGAAAAGAGAACCATCATCTCTGGATCGTAACCTCACCGAATGAAGACGCTGTGTTTCATCTTCATCGTCAAAGCTGGGTTGATCTTCATTGGTATAGCGAGAACTTACTGTATGATAAAAAAAGGGCAAATCTGGACTTGCTTTCTTACAAAACTCTCTGTAATAAAAAAAAATTTTTTTGAGTGAATACAAAATTCAAATACTGTAGGTATGACCCAGTTTTCCAAATTATGAATTTCAGCAAAATTTGAAACATAGCCTACAAGTGATCTCTTCAGTAGTATATAACTTACCGACACATTGCCCTCCAGCAGCACTTGAACTCTTTATGTGTAAATGAATCCCCAAGCTTCCTTCTAACCATACTGAAAAAGCACTCAATGTCATCAGTTGTACCAGCTCGAGGATGCTCAGCCTGAAAGTTGTCACTACATATTTGTCTTCTTCGAAACTCCTGTGATTCAATATTTGTTACAATCGCAATTAAAGACTCCCTCGATAATCCTTTAACACCCTTCAAAGGCCTGAAAAATAACAAAAATTATAAATTTTGTATTGAGATGTGAGAACCGATTACTATAAGGATGAGAAAAAAAAATATCTGTTTCTCGTTTCTGCACGCATCATTTTGAACTATGTGTCTCGGTCGTTTTTTTTCCTTCTGAAGCATTCCAAAATGGGCTTGTGCTTGCGCTTGTGCCCGCACTTGTCACAAATTTTCCTTATTTTAGCTCAGTATTAAAAAAAACAAAAAACGTCTTGAATTTTTTTTTCTGGCCTAACATTAACTGCATAGTTTTGTCCATATAAATTGTACTGAATATATGCAACTGTAAGATGACTAACCTGTTCACATCAATAGTGGCAAAGTCATACACTTCTTTGTGCCATGGCATCAGATCCTCAAGTATATAGTTTAACATTCTATAATTGCCTTTCTGTCGTTGTAGCTGAGACAAGCCTCTTCCATCACTCGCTTCATGCCATTCAGCTA